ATTTACAGGAATTACAGTTATTTGGAGCATTATGGGGTCATCTTTTGAGACTGCAGATTTGATGGGGGAGACAATGGAACAGTGTGAGGATACCAATATTAAAAGATTTCAGTATTCTTATTCAGGAAAGCATGGCTCATAAGTGGATTCATCAATAGCACCTCATATTTCAGACTGAATACCAGAATGTTCAGAACTGCATTTAAATCTGAAACAATTAAAACCATCTACCAGATCTCAGCAAATCTAGAGAGTAAAACAGGCTAATAGGTACTGAATACTGCTCAGTACTCTTTAATATTTAAAAATATATCTTATAAACCTGTTTTAGAATGTGGGCTGAAACAAAATGGATGGATTTTCATGATTTGTTAACTTTTGGGTGGTAACAAACTCAACTGGTGAGCTGAGATTGGAATATGAAAGGGGGCAAAAGTGTTTGAATATGGTGGGCAAGGTTATGAACTGATAAAACAATGTGATCTTGATTTTCAGTATCTCATTGCATTTCTTCACATTGGTAAAACACTGAAAACAAAAGATTGATGTGTTTATGAACATTGTTAAAGGAAGATTGGACTTTGCACATATGTACATAGGTAATAAAGAGGGTAGGGAGAACAACACATAGGAACTAAAACTGTATCAGACTCCATACCAGCAGAGTTTTATATAAAATTCAAAAGTGTAAAATGGGTAAACTGAGGCTTTCTTAATGCATCAATTCTCCTGTAAAACAAAGAACAATTCATTGCAACTCTGTAATCTGGGGAACAATTTGGATGAAGAGAATTTTAGAAACATCCCTTATAAAAATAGAATGCATTAAAGTAGAATTAAGATGAATATAGATATTAATACAAATGTGTTCAAATATTATAATGTGTTAATTTGCAAATTGTTTAATGAATGAGGTAGCATACTTATTTTGGAAGAATTATGGAAGTTTTTATTTGTTAATATTTTGTATAGACTGAGTATATACTCATGATCATGGTATGCATATAATGTATATATATAAAAAATCAATTAAAAAAAAAAAGAAACATCCCTAGATCCCACCCAATCAGGAATCCCATTGTGATCAGGAAAACATCCTGGTGTAATATAGCCAGTCAAATGTGTCTGTGTGATGACAACACTGAGATCAAGGATTGACATTTTTCACTGAGGACAGTTTAAACAAATCAGGCAACCCTTTGCTGCAAGGTGTACAGATAAATCATCTAAAAGGAGTCATTTCTATGATCGCTAATGAAAATGTTCACCCAGAGAATGCGAACAGTTTTATCTCAAATGGAAAGAAGAGTAATTTCCATAAGGCTCAATCTTTATTTTTATGTTATGTGTTAAGAAACTAGAGTGTTAATATTTTTCAGAGTGGGATGATCATGTTACAAGATAAAAATATTGCTAGCATTAGATAGGTTTGTAAAGGGATTAGCATAACTAAAAGGAGGATGGAGGCTCTCAGAATCAGGTTCTAGTCTAGGAGTGGAACAGTAAAAATCCCATACCAGTATAAGCCAGGGGCATCTCTCCATGCCCATGCAAACCCTGCCCACTGAAAAGAAAATATGCCAGATCAATGGAAACTTAGCTGCCTTAAGAATTTGGGAACCATGACCAAACTTGTTGACTATATGGAGATTACTGAATGCCAAAAATAAAAAAGCAACTTACCCCTTCCAGGATACAGTCGCTTACAGGATGCAGTTGGGTATTATCACATTAAAATTGCCCCCAATGCTGCCAGGTGACTGCATCCCAGCTAAATCCCAGCTCCCAGCCATACTCAAATGGCCAATTTGCAAAGATGGAAGCTTCCCATTTGTGAAAATTGCCCAGCTGAGTACAGCTGGGAGCTGGGATTTAGCCAGGATGCAGTTGCCTGGTGGCATCGGTGGCATTTTTAATGTGATAATACCTGACTGCATCTTGTAAGCAACTGTATCTCAGCAGGGGTAAGCTTTTTTTTTTTTCTTTTTTTTTTTTGCATGAGATAACCTCCTAAAATGCTTTCTTTAATCTTTGTATGGTAAAATAATATGCATATAACTTCAGTAATAGGTATGAATTTGTTTAAGATAGGGCATGTACATGACCTGCACTGCAGGTTATAAAAAACTGAATGTCTGGAGAAATGTTTTAACTTGTTATATTTTAATCTGTTGTATGCTGCCCCAATTGCCGAGCAGAGGGGCAGGTTATAAATAAAAATAATTGTTGTTGTTATTATTATTATTATTATTATTATTATTATTATTATTATTATTATTATTATTATTATTTACAAACATATATGCATGTCAAAGCACACCTCCCCTCCTTCCTTAAATACTCCTTTAAGAATTCAAATAGCTTAAATAAGATTAAGGATGATTCAATCATTATTATTAGTTGAGTCATGAAACCAACTGCGTGGTAGGAGCTGGCCCACACCAAATGGATCACCAGCAGTACATGTGAATCAGGCTTAGATTCACTATGGCTGACATCCTGTTAGTGACATATGCATGTGTTAGTCATGCTACACATGCAAGACAAATGATTCACCATAATGCAATGGACATATTCCACTGACACAGTGGAAATGGAACAATACATGCAACAACATTGTGCATTGAGATTGTGCACTTCACACATTGTAGCTGAGCACTGTGCATTGTGGCTGTGCATCCTATGTTGTGCATTGCACACTGCACAATGGCACACAGTCATTGACATGTTGTGCAATGGTGCTATTCTGCATGGGGGTTGTGTAGTGTTGCAATAATGTACCACCACATGGAGATATTTATGCTATATTAAGGGGATATTGGATTGAAGTGTCTCTCTTCCCACAGGATCACTCTTCTCTGTGTTTCATGGTAACCCTATAATCAGAAGTCCATTCCAACTACAGCAGCTTAAATGTACAGAAAGGATAAAAACTATTGGCAATGGATTGTAGGCTTGTGTAGTAATGGGAAAATTATATTTGCTGCATCTACTTTGTTGTTAGAATCATGGAATCATGGAGATGGAAGATACTACAAGGACTATCCAGTCCAAACCCCTGCCATGCAGGAAGACACAGTCAAAACACTCTGCTCCAGCCTCTGTTTAAACACCTCCAAAGAAGGAGACTCCACCACACTCCGAGGCAGTGTATTTCTACTATCTCATGATATTATTTCAATTATTATTGTTGTTGCTGTTGTTTTGCTTGTTAGTTTTACCAGAACTTTGAGATCCATGAACTACAACCAGGTACAAAAGTCAGAAAATTAACAGGAAAAAGAATACAGAGCCCAAGAATGTGTTTTTAAATTTCTGGTTACCCTAAGTTTTCTTAATTCAGCAGTATAAAGCGGTAGAAAAAGAGGGTAGACCATTTTGTTAAATCTACTGTTAAACAATTGCCAATATATTCTAAATCTCCCAGATATTGTTCAATAGCTCCAAATCTATTTTCTGCCTGACCCTGAAGTTTATCTGTATGTTCTCAGATGTTCTTTACTCTGACCAGGACAGGGGTGAATGTTGCTTCTGGCCCTCCTATCATCATTGTTGTTTTAATAATCAGTCTGATTCTGCACTTTTAATGACATTTCTAACAACAACAACAACAACAATACTAATAATAATAATAACAAAATTTATTTGTATCCCACCTCTCTGTATAATACATCTGGGGCGGCTTACATGATAAAACAAACAATCCTGTTGCCCAATAGCCCACCCCACTAAAATACAATTAACCAATCAAAGTTTAAAACATACTTAAAAATAACAAATTAAATGACAAATACATTAAAATAACTGTAGCAGAAATCAGGGTCAGGCACAATTTTTTCGGTGGCTGGTTATCTACTCAGGAAAGACCTCCTGGTAGAGAACCATCTTAACAGCTTTTTAAAAGCTGCTTAAAGTGGTCATGTGATGGATCTCATCCAGCAGGCTGTTCCATAATCTGGGAGCAATAGCCAAAAGGTCCTCTGGGCAGTTGCAGATAATCTAGTTTTTATAGGTTGCAATAAATTCTTCTCAGAGGACCTTAGCGCACAGAGTGGATTATATGGAAGGAGGTGGTCCCGAATATAAGTTAGACCCAAGCCATTTAGGGCTTTAAAGGTGATGACCAACACCTTGTGCTGCACCCAGAAACTGATAGGCAGCCAGTGGAGCGATCTTAAAATAGGTGTTATATGGTCTCTTCTGGTTTTACATGAGACCTGCCTGGCTGCCATATTCTGCACCAATTGAAGTTTCCGAACTAGGCACAAGGCTAGCCCCATGTAGAGTGCATTGCAGAAATTGAGAAGAGAAGTTACCAGCATATGTACCATGGTTTCAAGGTCCCTAACCTCCAGGAAAGGGTGCAGCTGGTGTAGCACACTTCATGGTACTTAGTGTAGGGCTGGGGAACTGAGTGGCCTTCTAGATGTTGTTGAATTCCAATTTCCATCAAACCTTGCCAAATTGGCCAATGGAGGCTTAATGCAAACAGTCAATTTCTCAAGGGCCACAAATCTTCCCGCACTGGCCTAGTGTGAATGTTGCTGCCATAAAATCTTTATAATAAATAGCTTCAGAGCTACGATTTCTAATCATCATTTACATGCAGGCTGATTCATTATCTCCTGCTTCTTTTACATCAGCTAAATAGAAAACAGGACAGAGTTTCATCATCACCATACAACAGTACAGTACAAAGTGGAGTTCTACTGTGAAAACTCTGGGCTTCTTTAATGCGAACAAGAAGAACTCACATGTTTTAATTCATGGGTGTGGTGCTAAGAACAGAACAAAACCTGGGAGTTTGGATATGTGAGATGGGCAGGATCCTTCAGGGAAAAGGCTAGAACTGATGGAAGCACAACATGTAATGTTTTCCAGAGCTGAACAGTCCCATCCAACTGGAAGTAGGTGAGTCAAGCCTGGTGTGTGCACTTGTGGGTAGTTCTCAAAAATTCTATTCTGTTTCTCTGTCTATCTGTCTGTCTCTATCTATCTGAGACCCAATATGGCATCGTGGTTTGACCATTAGACTGAGACTCTGGAGACCAGGGTTCAATTCCCAGCTCGGCCATGAAACCTTGGCCAGGTCACATGCTCTCAGCCTCAGGGGAAGGTAATGACAAACCTCCTCTGAACAAATCTTGCCAAGATAACCCCATGATAGATTCTTCTTAGGGTCGCCATAGGTTGGAAATGACTTGAAGGCACACAACAACAATCTATCTATCTATCTATCCACATATACATGTATACACACATGCATATATGGCATCTTCAGACTGAAGGATCTATGTAACTTGGCCCTCATGTGTAAAGGTTATAAATGTGAGGGACAAGTCACATGGATCCCACAGTGTGAAGCTGCCATAGGATATGTTGAGTCCCAATCCCATAGGGCATGTTTGGAAGTAAGGTGGTATGCCTTTCCATTACATGCATTGAACATAGCATGGATAGCCTTCCTTTGGTTTTGGTTGTGATTATGGGCAAGCAGTCCACTGGATGAAGTCATGTGACCTCCTTCAACTCATACTGCCCGTCAGGTCTGAATAATTTTTGATGGAACTACAGTTTCTCTGACTTACCCTGAATCTATGTGGATCCCAAGAAGTGAATCTAAGGTGGTAGCCTAGACTTTACCTTGTGGTTCAAGCCTAGAATTTGTGACTTCATTTATTTCAAGCCACTGACAGAATATTTTTACTATTGGATCAGTCCCTCTGAACTCAAAAGTTCTGTTTCTTGGTTTTCCGCTGTTAAAGTCCACTGTGTGAAATCATCCAGCTGTTCCAATCTCCTAATTACTGCTGTGCTTTATGACTTTTCTATGTAATTCTGCTCCAAGTTATCTCATTGAGATGCCCAGCCATTCCCTCAGAACATCCCTCCAACAAAGATGCAGATAACACAGTGAGAAACTACAGATGAAGCAAGGCAGAGGTATAGTTTCTGAAGATAGACTGTGGGAACTCTCTTTCTAACCTGAGCCCTATTTGGGTATTCAGTTCTTCCATATTATTAGAATTGTCCACTAGCAATGAGTATGAGTACTCTGTCTCATTTGTTGTTGCATGCCTTCAAATCATTTCAGACTTATGGCAACCCTATCACAGGGTTTCCTGGGGCTGAGAGTGTGTGATTTACCAAAGATCACCCAGTGCATTTCTATGGCTAAATGGGAAATTGAACCCTGATCTCCAGAGTAGTCAAATGCTCAGTCCACTATACCACACTGGCTCTCATCCTCCTTGCTGGTCCCAAAGAACTTCACATATTCATGGATGAATATCTGTCATGGGAAGTATGCATATTGCATGATTTAGAAGCTTGGATGTTCAGGGTTCTAAATTGCATTCTCAATTGAAGTCTGGTATTTTTTTTTTTTAAAAAAGGGGGGGGGAATAAAACTTATGGAAATGTTGACATCTACTGTACAAGATGATAGAAATGACCAGTCATTAATAAGCATCCTTTCAACATGGTTTCCCTTGATTAATTTTATCAGTGATAGTGGAGAATTTCATTTTCCTCTGTAGTCACATTTGGATCTATGGAGAGATGCTTTAATTGAATTGTATATGTATTGTTATTTTCTAATGTTGTGAACCTATGAACCAAAGATTTAAGATAAATATGGAAAATCTTGCTTTGGGGAAAATAATTGGGAATGCTTGGTGAGTTTCTTGTGTGTTCCATTAAAACAACAGTTACATTATGCCACTATGTCATAATAATAATAATAATTGAAAAGCCCATATGAGTTGCACTTTTGAACACCTTTAAACAAATGAAGGCTGATGAAGAGAGAAGAGCCAGCACACTGATCCCCCCTCTCACTCATATTCTCCTAAATTATGGTGGACCTGAATCAGACTCTGGAGGTCCAGCAAAATGTAATTCATGTACAAGACTGCACTTAAGAAAGCTGCTAAGCTGCAGTTACCTTATGTGCCCTAGGCATTGGTATTTGGACTCATGTTTGGGATCTGTTTTTCCATGGAAAAAGTGACACGCCTGAGATTGGTCTCCTTGGGAAAATAGACAGTGGAGCACTTTCTGTCTATGAGGCTGTTATGTAACTTTGAGGATTCTAAAGGCACATGCTTGGATGAATCCACTCACGTTTTGCTCTATATTGAAGAAATTGGGAATTTCATATGCTATTGATTTTGTTTGTGACCAACATTGTTTGAAGACATGTCACTTGGGTCTATGTTCTATTGGCAGAAGGAGAGTTAAAAAAAACTGTTATGCCCTTAGAAAACATTTTCATTGAGATATATAAAATCATAAATGTTGAGTCTCCCTTAACCAAAATACTTAGGACCAATAGTGTTTTGAATTTTGGATTTTTTAAAAAAAAAATATATGGGGGGGGGGAAGTTTTGGATTATTTGCATACACATAATGAGATATCTTGGAAATGGGACCCAAGTCTAAGCATCAAATTTATTTGTGTTTTGTATAAATCTTGTACACATAACCTGAAGGTAATTTTATAGATAATATTTTTAAGTAAATTTATGCATGAAACAAAGTTTGTGTACACTGAACCATCAGAAAGCCAAGGTGTTACTACCTCAGTCATCCATGAAAAAAGTTTTGGATTTTGGAGTATTTGGGATTTTGGCATTCTGAATAAAGGATACTCAATCTGTATTATAATATAATATAATAATTCTGCTGCTGATATCCAAATAAATTGTGGAGGGGAGAGATTTTATTCCAGTTATTTCTAATGAACAAATTATGAATAAATGAGATAGACCAAGAAAATTGTTATGAGTTTCATTGTACCTGTTTGCCTCTGTCATAGGACTTAGAAACAGATGTGATGTTATTGTGAGAATGGCAATGGAAGCAGAATAAACAACGTGTTATTTCTAACAACCCAGACATTGGCGGGTAAACAAGAAATGGAAACACATATATGATTTTAATATAGCATTGTATGTAAAATGGGTGACATGCTAAATTCTTTTTGAGTACATGCAATATATACAGCAACAGATTTCAGAGTAAATATAATTGGATACTGAGCTAGAGCTAGCTATTGAGCTCATCATCAAGGGATATAAAGGAGAGAAAATCAAACTCAAGCTACATCAATACTGTGCCTCTTTTAATTACAAGGATGCTGACATCCTACTTTTTCAATTTTTGTTTCTATAATTGATAAAGTGAATATACTGTTTGGGCTTATCATATGCCCAGATATATAGCAAGCAGATTTCTGTAACACACATAATAAGGATACCACCCCTTGGCAAGGTGTGGCTAACCCCAACTGGAAGACAAGGAAACATGAGAAGGAGACAGCATCATGTGATAGGTATTGCCAAAGGTGCTATTATCAAACTTTTATGGTAGTTTGAAAGCCATGCATGATAAAGTCCTAAGGCTCAGAATCCAGTTATCCAGTTACAAGAAGCTAGCTTGACGTTACTCTGCCTTTCCCCTTAATAGTCCACCGGCCAGTAAATGGCTACATATATTGAGTGGTGTGGAACATGTGTCATAGTTCTTCCTGTTTGGAACTTTAAGATTCATCTCCCAATCCAGGATCTTGGCTTTTAGTCAGAGTGCATCTCTCCTTATCACTCATTACAAGATATGCTGGCTAGTCATGATGTGAAATACAGGACTTTGTCACACGCAGCTTTTAAGCTACAATAAAAGTTAGAAAAGTCAAAGCCTTTGGCAATACCTATCACGCTATGCCATCTCTATCTCATTGCTGCTTTGTCCACAAAGTGTTGTTAGAGTACACCTTGCCATTGAGAGGGAAAACCCATCAATAAGCTCCCAATTTTGCTACTATAGAGTTAGTCCTCAGGGCAATGAGTTACTCCCATGGCAGTTCTGGGTTTGGACACTCATGTGGTGTCAGTGTCTTCTCCTCTTACCCTCCTCCCTCTGTTCCAAAACAGCCTGGGCATTTTTTAAAAAAATTGTTAAATTGCATTAGCATAACTTCAGAATTGCATTAAAACCCCCACACACAACCTCCTGAATGCACACAAACACACACAACTCCCCCCCCCCAAAAAAGGCATACTGGATAGGGAACAGGTCAGGAAGGCAGGATTAAGGACAAAGGCAGAAGAGAACATATGTATTCAGTGTGATGGGGAGTGCTACCAAACTGATATGTATGCATTTCCTTTCATTAACATGATCGCATGAGAACAGGGGTTGTGTGATAAAGTCCAGAGTCCCACAATATTTGGAGGGCTACTCCTGTTGTGCATAAGTTACCATTTCTAATAACCATCTCGAGCTTTAATATTTTTGCTTTCCTCACCATCCTCTTCTCTTGTGCTGTGCTTGTATCTGTGTGGCTCTTTGGTAAATGTTTCCTTTGCCTGGGTTGTTCAAAAAACCCATCTACCTGTCAATTATTAGGCACAATTAATGATCATGGGAATGGTCCCATGACCTTCTGTATGAACTCAATCATGAATGACATTTTGGCATTTGCCACCTTGATTCCTGCAACAGGTTCACAACTCAAAGACTAACTCCATGCAGAAACCTGGACAACGTGGAACATATGGCCATTCATTTTAGCGCTAGTGTTACTCAGCTAGCAGCTCTAACACTGTACATCTCTTTCTCTGATCTTTAGCAAGTTCCCATAAACACCCATGGACATTTATAAACCACCCAACACAGCAGCAGCTAATATTTTATATGTTAAGAGAATCTTACACTTCTTTGCACTCTCTCTTCCCTCTCCCTCTCCAGTATGTGCAGTGACAAGACCCAGCTGAGCAGAAAAAGGAAAACATGAAGACATTGCCAAGAATGTACTAAGTCTCCACAAGAAGCATCTTTTAATCAGAGATTGGCTCAGCAACAAATGAAGGAGCATCTCTTTCTTTCCCTTTTAAAGTTTTCTTTTGTTTCAATTTCCCTGTGGAGACATTCTGAGGGAATCATTTATTCTTCTACACTACAGCTCACAAGTGAAAAAATATGTAAAACCCAGCCAATATTAATTGTACATGCTGGAAATTGATACTTCTACAAGGGGATTTAAAAAAAAACATTTAAACCCCTCTTTACCCC